GATGTTTATCAAGTGGCGTGGATGGGTGGCGCGTGTGGTTAGCGCACTGCGCTATGGGAACTCGACACTCGAGTCTGATTCGCTGCCGCGGCTAACACGGGTAGCGAGTGATGTCTTAGCCGGGTCGTGAGACCAACCACCCCCCTCTCCACCCCCTTTCTCTACCCTCTGAAGAAGGACGGTTGCCTGAAACGTCAGCCTATTACACTTGTTTCTGTTGAAGGCTCCCGTAGACTTCAATGTTAAATGCTCCCATAGACTTCGATGTTAAAGGCTCCCATAGACTTCAAGGTTATAGGCTCCCATAGACTTCAATGTTAAAGGATCCCATCGACTGCAATGTTAAAGGCTCCCATAGACTACAATGTTAAAGTCTCCCATAGACTTCAATGCTAAAGGCGCCCATATACTTCAATGTTAAAGGCTCCCATAGACTTCAATGTTAAATGATCCCATATACTTCAATGTTAAAGGATCCCATAGACTTCAATGTTAAAGGCTCCCATAGACTGCAATGTTAAAGGCTCCCATAGACTTCAATGTTAAAGGCTCCCATAGACTGCAATGTTAAAGGCTCCCATAGACTTCAATGTTAAAGGCCCCCATAGACTGCAATGTTAAATGCTCCCATAGACTTCAATGTTAAATGCTCCCATAGACTTCAATGTTAAAGGCTTCCATAGACTTCAATGTTAAAGGCTCCCATAGACTGCAATGTTAAAGGCTCCCATAGACTTCAATGTTAAAGGCCCCCATAGACTGCAATGTTAAATGCTCCCATAGACTTCAATGTTAAATGCTCCCATAGACTTCAATGTTAAATGCTCCCATAGACGGCAATGGCAAAGGCTCCCATAGACTTCAATGTTAAAGTCTCCCATATACTTCAATGTTAAAGGCTCCCATAGACTTCAATGTTAAAGTCTCCCATAGACTTCAATGTTAAAGTCTCCCATAGACTTCAATGTTAAAGGCTCCCATAGACTTCAATGTTAAAGTCCCCCATAGACTGCAATGTTAAAGGCTCCCGTAGACTTCAATGTTAAAGGATCCCATAGACTTCAATGTTAAAGGCTCCCATCGACTGCAATGTTAAAGGCTCCCATAGACTTCGATGTCAAAGTCTCCCATAGACTTCAATGTTAAAGGCTCCCATAGACGGCAATGTTAAAGTCTCCCATAGACTTCAATGTTAAAGTCTCCCATATACTTCAATGTTAAAGGCCCCCATAGACTTCAATGTTAAAGTCTCCCATAGACTTCAATGTTAAAGTCTCCCATAGACTTCAATGTTAAAGGCTCCCATAGACTTCAATGTTAAAGTCCCCCATAGACTGCAATGTTAAAGGCTCCCGTAGACTTCAATGTTAAAGGATCCCATAGACTTCAATGTTAAAGGCTCCCATCGACTGCAATGTTAAAGGCTCCCATAGACTTCGATGTCAAAGTCTCCCATAGACTTCAATGTTAAAGGCTCCCATAGACGGCAATGTTAAAGTCTCCCATAGACTTCAATGTTAAAGTCTCCCATAGACTTCAATGTTAAAGGCTCCCATAGACGTCAGTGTTAAAGGCTCCCATAGACTTCAATGTTAAAGTCTCCCATAGACTGCAATGTTAAAGGCTCCCATAGACTTCAATGTTAAAGTCTCCCATATACTTCAATGTTAAAGGCTCCCATAGACGTCAATGTTAAAGGCTCCCATAGACTTCAATGTTAAATATTCTTAGGTTTTTTCTGTAAAGTCACGTAGGTAAAACATCAAAATTAATAAAAATAAATAAAATAAAAAAATTATTGTTATTAATTTTGATGTTTTACCTACGTGACTTTACCGAAAAAACCTAAGAATATGAATCCTTGCAGTCACGAAAGCTTCAAATCTAGAATTCAATGGCTCCCATAGACGTCAATGTTAAAGGCTCACAGACTGAATGCACTTCGACTGAAATAGCAACGTTCTGCTGCTCTACGGATACGTTAGCCAGACGCGTTAATCGGGCTTCGTCCATGGTAGACTGCAGGTAATTTGTAATTCTACATTTTTTAAATAAATACATTTTATTCACATTTGTGTTGCTTGTTTATCTGTTCATTCGAGGCCCACTTGTGTCCGGCTGAGCCCCCAACGCGTCGCATAACGCTGCCACGCGGCCTATAGTTGCGAACACGAGTCGAATGCGTACATTCATACGACATCCACGTCGGTATCCCGAATAAAAATACAACTATTCAACTTTCTTATTGCTATATATTCATTTTCGGAAACTCGGTATATTAAAAAAAAACACCACCAATAAAATTTATTTTAAAAAAATCGTCAAACGCGCATGACAGTGCCAGCCGAGCCTGAGGCTGTGCACCATCTGCCCTGGCACCGGGCTTGCGAAGTGCAGGATTCTTTTTGATCTTGTCAAACATGTTTCACTGCGTTTCCTACACCACGTGCGCGGCATATGAGAACGATCACATCGACAACGACGGGCACTGCGAACGCGGCTAAAATTGCCTCCCGCGTTCGGATGTTTGGCGGATTACGTCATCGTCAGCCGTGATCAATCCACTGCTGGATGAAGACCTCCCCCACCCCGCAAGCTCCCTGCGGCACGAGCTAAGCTCGTCGCTCCATCTCCGACAGCGGACGCCCTCTCTCTGTGCGCGATCCCGCCTCTGGTTTCCACGGCTCGTCCTGAAGTATCGTTGGCTCGCGGTCGTCCCTTGCGGCCGTGACGCCGTTTGTCCTGCCCAAGCCAGCCCGCTTGACGCTCCACAGGCAATGACATAGCCTGAACAGAACTGTTTGTACGTTGAAGTTGTTTTTCTCTCTCTCTCTCTCTCGTCGTATACTGGGCCAACCGCGCTCATGGGAGATGCGGCAGGACAACAAACTAACGCACACACACACACAGAGCAGGTCTAAAGAAATGAGCTTTCAATCTCAGAAATTCGTTTTAAATTTAGACTTTTGGGGAAAGTGCTGTTAGCGAGTAGCACCTATGAAGAGGGGGGTGGGTGGCCAGCACCACGCCCGGCCGCCTTTAACACTCAATGCGATCACCTCTCTAACCTGCATTTCTGCGTAATCCCCGATCCACGCCTTCCACTGTCTCTCTCACCGTGCAATTCGGAATTAAGAATCTTTACTTCGACTGAAGGAATCCGTTGAGCTGTGAAGCCTCCCTTCTTGTGTCACAGGTGTCCAGTAAGGACGGGTCAGCAACTCCGAGCGTGGCATCCCGTCCCCAGCGCTGCCTTGCCGCTCACTCTGCAGCTCTTGTTTGCGCCGTTCTCTATTTGCCATTCTTCACATGTTTCCGACCCACGCAAGTTCAAGTTCATTTATTAGGTATAGCCTTGTGAGCCATTTGGCTCTTGATTCGGATGCAACCGCAACAAACAAAAAACAAAGACATGAACAAGAAAACATCCTAAAGTGACTATGTGACTATGTGCATTACAGAAAATCCAAGAAAAGACAGCAAAATATTGCAGAAAAACACCGTACACCAACACTGTGTGCAAAAATCCCAGTGGGATGCAAGTCAAACAACAACAACAACAACAACCACAAGACAACTTAGATTATGGCCATCAGTCTAACTCTGTACTACAACAAACAAACATTGCCAAACCAAAAACTTTTCGAAAATCACCAAAATAAATCCATAAAAGCAATGAAACAATGCTCATAGGAACTGTGACCGAATTTTCACAATAAACGACGTAAACAACATGTACTACCAAACTCTGCAGCCATAGCTGGCTGCATGAGTCACTCAACAACAGCAGGAGCATCAGCAGATCGGGAGACATACGCAGCATGCAGCAGATAGGGCGACGTACGCCGATTCAAACGTCATTCTTGAGCACGCGAGTTTGCAACTGTATGTGCCTGCAGAGTAAATCCACCAGGCACACAAGGGAATCGACACTGAAAGCTCTCCACAGAGAGAGAAAGAGAGGGAAATATTCTTAGTTTTTTTCGGTAAAGTCACGTAGGTAAAAAATAAAAATAAAAGAATTAATAAAAGTAAAATAAAAATAAAATAAAAGATTTGCTGTATCACTTGATACATCAAATCTGTATCACTTGATACAGCAAATCGAGCTGTGACGGTCCCACCTAATGACGGAGGCTTGTGTTTGCCTCCGAAACGTCGTGAGTTTTATTTAATTTTTATTTTACTTTTATTAATTTTAATTTTTAATTTTTTACCTACGTGACTTTACCGAAAAAACCTAAGAATATGTATCCTCGCAGTCACGAAAGCTTCAAATCTAGAAAGAGAGGGAGGGCAGTTTTCACGGACAACACCGTTGCTTGCACTGCCTTGCCACCGACGCAGCAGCCCAGCGGGTTTAGGAGTCTCACAAATCTGTGCGTGATCCACTAAGCCTCACCGCCAAAACGCCGGATCACAGACCCGGCGTTCGGACGGACGGACAGACGGCATCGTCCTCTGGAGCAGTGGCTCCCGTCCTGGGCTCCTTTGGAACCTCTCTGGCGGTGGTGTGCAAGGTTCGTGCGAAGCAGATCGCTAAATCGCACCGTGGCACAACGAAACATTGAGTGGCGTTGTGTCTCGTCGCCACTGCCCGGCTAATTGCCAGACTCTGCCGACCGCCGGCACTTGCTTGGAGTCCCGTTTTCAAACATTTTCATTGGCGCATGATACCTCCCCAATAACAGATTTCTTTTTGCAGGGTTGGCAGCGGCCCGATCGTCCAGAAACAATCGCAAACCGCACGGCTTAACAATTGCGAACCGCACCGCTCTCTGTCATTGGCACCAAGTGATGGACCACATCCGGCTAGCCCGAGGCCCCCCCCCCGGCCCTAACGAGGCGCTTTGTGTGCTCATCTGCCTCCTCCACGCGGCCAGCGAGCCTGAGTGTTGTTTGCACGGAGACACCGGCCACCTGGCGTCTCTCCATTGGGCCCCGTGCCTCGTATTTAAGTGGAGGTCCCATCTACTGGCCCTTCGTCTCTGTGTCTCTGTGTGTGTCTCTGTCTCTCTCTCTCTCTCTCTGTGTCTCTGTGTGTCTGTGTCTCTCTCTCTGTCTGTGTGTCTCTCTCTGCCTGTGTCTCTCTGTCTCTGTGTCTGTGTGTGTGTGTCTCTCTCGGTCTTTCTCTGTGTGTCTCTCTCTGTGTCTCGCGCTGTGCCAGGGATCATGAGGTCGCTCCTGGCAGCAGCGGCGCTCCTGTGCGCGGTCGCGTGCGGCGGAGAGGGCAGGGTCCAGAGGACGTTGGATTCCGGTACTGCTAGTCTACAAACACTCTATAAACTATAAACTGCTACAAACTATTTATTTGTATTTACCAGGTAAGGCCCCTCTGAGCTATGTAGCTATTTTTCAGAAGCTACCTGGCCACAAATGATAGCTCAACGAGGTGTCTTATGTGAAAATAGATTGCAGCCAATTTCTATAATATAAACGCACGTGTCTATATATATACTATATACACACAGTACATATGTTTGTATAATAGGTGATGGAAATGTGACGGTGCGTGACGCTGTTTTCCCGGCACTTCTCAGAACACTCGAGACGTCTTTTACTTGTGGTTTATGTCGTCGTGTCGGTATAATGTCCATTTAGTTTCATGATAACCCTCCACCACCCGACAGAACCAATCAAATCAAGATGCCACGTTGAGCGAACACGCCAATTGATTTTTTTTATCAAAAAACCGGAAGGCTGTTTATGCTGATAACAATTTTGTATGAATCATCATCATCAGCTGTTAATAAAACAAAACATCTCAGCTCGGCATCACATACGGTACCGACAAACAGCGATCGAAGCTCAAAGTAATCGAATTATTGTGAATCATACTATTGGTCGCGAAAGCCTAAGTACGTGAAATTAACCAATCGCATTCCCCAACACCGCTGGCAGGAACCTCTTCAATACCTGTACTCGGATCATTCTGCAGAGGGGAAGCGGCAGCGACCGTGTGAGAACGAATCGATTTCACAGCGGCGCTCCTAAATTTAAATTTCGACCACGGTCTATATTGCAAGGGGTGATCCATGTATAGATATAGACAATGTAAAAGTACATTCCTGCTTTAAATGTGCATGTAAGCGGTGCTTATCCGAGACAGTGGTGGCAACTCCACGTTCATATGGCGGGGGCGAGTCTAATTTTTTTTTTTTTACGATCGCGAGCCATCTTGGCACGCTCTCAATCGGGGCCACGAGGACGACTTTGGAGGAATTCTGGACAGCGCAACTCGTCCTGTTTCCAAGCCTCTGCGCGTCGCACACGCAGTATTAATGCACGTTATTAAGTCGTTATTAAGATGTACAGACGACACTTTTGCAATATCCAATCAGCTCAGAATGGGAATCTGAATATGTATTTATAGTGGAGGAAACCGATGAGCTATGCAGTTATTTTTCACAGATGTTGAAGGGGGCGTGCCACGGTGGCTAGGAGATGTTAACTACCTCACCTTGTATACAGGAGGTCGCGGGTTCGATCCCGACCCGAACACCTCTCTATTTGCAGTTCGCGGTGTATCTCTGTCATGCGGATTTTTCTCCTAGTCCTCCGGTTTTTCCCACCTCATTTAAAATCAGCATGTGTTTAGAGTATTTGGTTGCCATATATTTCTACGTGATAAGCCACTTTGTTGAACTATCACTTGTGGCCAGGTCGCTTCTGTAAAAGAGCTATTATATAACTCAGTGGGCCTTACTTGGTAAAATTAAATTATCTTCTTGGTTCTTTCGGTAAAGTCACATAGAAGGGAAGTAATAAAATAATAAAATTAAAACATAATAAAACAATTCTCACGACGTTTCGGCCACAACGCAAGCAGCCGTCCTCAGGCGAAGAATGAAGCACCACCAAGCTTGGAGCGTATATTTAAGCTGGGTTAGAGGGGGGGAGGTGGGAAGAAGAGCGCCTAAACAAAATAATTTGCATATCATATGCTGAATTCCTCTTGATATGCAAATTATTGTGTTTAGGCGCTCTTCTTCCCACCTCCCCCCCTCTAACCCAGCTTAAATATACGCTCCAAGCTTGGTGGTGCTTCATTCTTCGCCTGAGGACGGCTGCTTGCGTTGTGGCCGAAACGTCGTGAGAATTGTTTTATTATGTTTTATTTTTATTATTTTATTACTTCCTTTCTACGTGACTTTACCGAAAGAACCAAGAAGATGAATCCCTGCAGTCACGAAAGCTTTAAATCGAAAATTAAATTAGTTTCGTTTCATAAAGTAAAGTGGGTCGTTTGAAATCAACGGGGTTGCCTTTAAATGGATCACCCTATGTCGTATACGCTGTGCGCAGATTTAAATGCTAATTGTGACTGAGTGGCTGATGTAAACTCCAATTATGTTCCATGAGGACGATATGGTTGATAGTTGGCACACGTGTAATGTGGTATATGCTTTAAAAAAAACTAAACTGAGAACAATTCTAGATTTGAAGTTTTCGTGACTGCAACAAAGAAAAGTGAAAACAAACTACGATTTGGACCCTCAAAAAATTATTTGGATCGTGTCGTCTGGTTTCACTCATAGGGCAGGCTGAGTCTAAAGTTCTACAGTGCTTTGAGTCTCGTGTTGTGTTGGCTGGGTCACGGAGCCCGCATGCGCAGCCATCGCATGCCCAAGCAGCTTCTGTTTGGCCGCTGCACGGGCTTGGGAAGAGGTGGACCGATGCGGTCCATGAGGATGTGGAGTTGACTGGACTTGGCGACGACCGGTACCAGTGGCGTCAAGAACGGCCTCTGTGGAGGATGAGGTTCATTAAGGATAGTACTGGCCAGTTGGAGGCAGTCGCCCTCCAACAACAGCAGAGGGCGGAGGAACGACGCTCACAACAACGAGCAGAGCACCGGGTGGATAAAACGCATTGGGGAGTACAGGTGGTGCATCTGCCGGTATTCTCAGTCAGTCAACCCACAGCACATGAGTTTGTCCAATGGCCTTCTGCCAGCAGCGATCCTTCCACACTTTACGTGACAGCTTCGAAGTGCACCTAGCCTGGCATACGCGCTGTGGTGACATCACGGCCACTCGGTGCATGGTGTTGTCATACTTGCACTTAAGCTCATTGCCGGAATGGTTTGGCGCGTGTGTTCTGCTGTGCCCTGCAGGCTGGGGAAATGACATCGAGTGGGTTCAGACTTATGAAGAGGGCCTTCTGAGAGCCAAGGAGACGTGCGTACACCCTGATGACTTGCACACATCTCATAGCTCAATATCATCCATAATACAGGGTTTTTTTTTCTTGGGGGGGGGGGGGGGGGGGGGGGGTTAGATCGCGTAAATATAAATGTGTCGTTAAACCCGCCACCACCCGAAACATGCCCATTGAAAAAATAAAAGGACTCACAAGTGATGTCGTCACATCTATCCGCCTGGTATACAGGAGGACGTGGGGTCGATGTTAACTATGTCGCCTGGTATACAGGAGGTCGTGGGGTCGATTCCGATCCTAACGCCTGCTGTATATTTGGAGTTTGCGTGTTCTCCCCGTGGTCGCGTGGTTTTGTCTCCGGGTCATCCGGTTTTTTTCTCTCCACATTTACAATCAACATCACGCGTTTAGAGTATGAGGCTGCTATACATTTCCACACGATAAGCCACTTTGTTGAATTGTCATTCGTGGCCAGGTCGCTTCTGAAAAATAGCTACATCGCTCAGTGGTGCTTACCTGGTAAAATAAAAATAGTAAAAAACAAGTTTTATATACATTTTCCATTTTAAGGCCACACGGTGTTATTGACGAATGTATTGCGTTTGTGTACAACGCACGAATACATGTATGTGCATGTATGTTGAACTTATTTCGCACCGTACGTAGCCAACCGTGCTAATCGGAGGTGCGGGGGGGGACAACGACACTAAACACATAAAAAGCAGTTGTAAAGAAATGAGCTTTCAATCGAGATGATTTAAAAGTGCACAGCTCTCCAGTGGCGTCCTAATCTCGGAACGAAGAGCGTTCCAGACGGCCGCAGAAGCGCGATGGGCCGCTCGGCGCGAGGATGGCCGGAGTTCGCGTCGCGGATTTTCTTTATACTCCTCGACGAACGGAGTCCGATGGCGGTGATGACACAAAATAACACGCATTGCTCTCACGCCCGCGACGCGTGCCCTACAGGAGGCAGCCGCTCATGCTCATCATCTGGCTGGAAACCTGCCCCTACAGTAAAGGTGAGCCTGCGCCACGGAAGGATGTGGGGAGATGATGGGACTTGCCGATGGACCGGTAGCGACAGTGTCGAGATCGGCCTCTGCCGAGGAGTTTCGTGATGGAAGTTGCGTGGGGGGGGGTGGAGTTGGAGACAGCCGTCGCTCTCCAGCAACAGCGGAGGGCCAGAGGAGCGACGCTCACAACAACGCCGGGCAGCTAAAGCGCAGATAACTAGTCGGCGTAGTGGGGGAGCACAGTTGGTGCATCTGCCAGTCATCTCGCTCGAACCATGGCGCCTTCGACACTTCACGTGGCCTCAAAGTGCACCTAGCATGGCACAAGCGCCGTGGTGACGTCACCGCCACTTGGTGGTGAACGGCGTTTGTTATATATTTATTTATGTGTGTGTCTTTGTCTCTTGATGGGGGCGGTCATTTAGCGGTTAACGCAATGCGCTACGAACCTGGCAACACCAGTAACGATGATCTGAACCGGTCCTGGGCCTCGCCTAGGTAGACTTAGCCTCAAATGAGTACCCGGTGCGATGTGTAAACAACGCCACTAGGGAGACAAAGACGGCCGGGCGTGGTGCTGTCCACCCACCCCCTCGTGCGCCGTGCCGGCCTTCATAGGTGCTCGCTTACAAGCACTTGCCCCAACAGTCTTTAAAGGCTATCTGGATATCTTTGTCTTTGTTTCGTGCAACCGGGGAGTGGTAGTGCAACGGTTTTGTGCGCTGTTAGGGGCCGTCCATAAATGACGTCACGCACATAGGGTGGGGGGGGGGTCAGACATTTGTGACGATGTGTGACGAGGAGGGGGGGGGGCTTGAGAAATGTGACGTCACATCAAAATGGGCAACTTTAAATAAATATACACAACACGTTCTACTTCTATTCTTGGTTCTTCATTATTTTATTATTTCCCTTCTACGTGACTTTACCGAAAGAACCAAGAATATGAATCCATGCAGTCACGAAAGCTTTAAATCGAAACGTTCTACTTAATTAGATTGTTTAATAAATGTTTTCTCCTACAGCATCAGAGTGCAGCGCCACATTAAATACGCACTACAATGACAATAGTTTAAAGCGATTTGAAGCATGTTTTATTTTTTTTGGGGGGGGCGGGGGGGCAAAGCTTTGTGACGTCATATTTGAGGGGGGGGGGTTCTGACTTTTTGTGACGTCGTGTGACGTAGGAATGGGGGGGGGGCTCAAAAATCGTTCAAAATCGCGTCACGTCATTTACGGACGGCCCCTTACGTTGTGTCAATTAACGCGTTATTTAATATCTGCAAGTTAACGGAAGCGGCAAATGCGTACCGGTATATTCCACGCATTGATTGGTTGGTCCGGTTTCGTGCTCGCGTGCAGAATTACGTAACAGGATGAGTCAACACAGAGCCATTCAGAAGCTCGCCTCCGAGAACTTCATCTGCCTCAACGTTCGAGTAGGTGACGACCCGAGGCCGGGCAGCTCACAGTTTGGTGCCAAGCTGTCGACGATTCTTGATGATGACTTTCAGTTGCAGTTGATGTATATACATACAGGGTGCTAAAAATGTTTTCCACTTATATGGGACTATGGTTTTAAATTGAAAAAATAAAAATAATACACTGTTATATTTCGATTTGTCAATGCGCCTTCCTCCTCTAACCCAGCTTAAATATACGCTTACATATACGCTTAAATATACGCTTAAATATACGCTAGATATATGCTGCCAAGCTTGGTGGTGTTCATTCAGACGCTGTCTTTCCGACAGCCCTGTTCTTCACCTGAGGACGGCTGCTTGCGTTGTGGACGAAACGTCGTGAGAATTGTATTTGATTATGTTTTATTTTTATTATTTTATTATTTCTTTCTACGTGACTTTACCGAAAGAACCAAGAAGATGAACACTGTTAAATGATAACAAATGCGATGTTAATAGCTTCAGAAAGTCAAAGAGTCTCCGACTTGTTCGCCATCATTGTCAACACGTGCCTGGAATCTTCTCCAGGTGGTCTCCAGAGCTCGGAGGCACATTCTTGTGGTGTTGTTGCAAATTCTCAGAAGCGTTAACTTGTTTTTGAAGCACGCTGTACAGCATCCTTGACCGTTTACACAGCAATATATCGAAAGCAACTCAATCCTCCCGTAAAGCACGTGGCTTCTGTTTCGATGTAAAGCTTTCGTGACTGCAGGGATTCGTCTTCTTGGTTCTTTCGGTAAAGTCACGTAGAAAGAAAATACTAAAATAATAAAAATAAAACATAATAAAATAATTCTCACGACGTTTCGGCCACAACGCAAGCAGCCGTCCTCAGGTGGAGAACAGGTCTGTCGAGAAGGCAGAGTCTGCACGTGGCTTCTGTGTGCCCCCCCCCCCCCCCCCCACTTTGAATCCCTCCCCCCGCCCACTGTGAAAACAGACGCTGCTGCTCCTCCTCTGTGCAGCTCACTTCTGCTCCCGCATTCCTTCTCTCGTATTTCCTCTCTTCCCTCAACTCTCATCCCCATTCTCTCCTCCCTACTCCTCCCTCCTCCTCCCTCTTCCTCCTCCCTCCTCTTCCTCCCTCCTCCTCCCACCTCCCTTCTCCTCCTCCCTTTCTGCTGCCCCCCTCCTCCCTCCTCCTCTCTCCTCCCTCCTCCTCCCTCTTCCTCTTCCTCCTCCTCTCTTCTCCTCTTCCTCTCTCCTCCTCCTCCCTCCTCCTCCCTTCTCCTCCTCCTCCTTCCTCCCTCCTCATCTTCCTCCTCCCTCCTCCTCCCTCCTCCTCCCTCCTCCTCCCTCCTCCTCTCTCCTCTTCCCTCCTCCTCCTCCCTCCTCCTCCCTTCTCCTCTTCCTCTCTCCTTCCTCCCTCCTCCCTCCTCCTCCCTCCTCCTCCCTCCTCCTCCCTCCTCCTCCCTTTCTGCTGCCCATCTTGATCCTTGCCCTCCTCTTTGTCCGTCTTGGGGACGCACATCCCGCCATTTCTTCACTCTCCCGGTCAACTCTCTCTCCTCCCCTCACCTTGATGCACCACGAGTGAATCGTTGCATTCGTACAATAGTCACCCTGTATCCGCTCAACGTTCCTGTAAACTAACTGCGAGTTTACTTGTGAACTGGCTAAATCGACTCACACCGCGGGGGGGGGGAGGGGGGTGCACAATTCAGCGTCGAATTACGCACGTGCAATAATCTATACGTATCACGTGACGGTTGTTTTTGGCTCCGATTTCTGTTCGATTCAATGCAGTGCTTTGTCCCCCTTGCTATTGTCAATTCGGTGGCGCGGGGTCACGTTTGCGAATGAGTCTCTTATGCTGGTCTCTGGAGGTCTCGCCGTGATTTAACGGAATCGACTTGAGTACGCAACTCTCTGGAGGGGTCCTTTAGAGGGGCTCTCGAAGAGGGGTCCTCTAAAGCGGTGGTTCTCAACCGGGGGGTGCGTTACGCGGACCCCTAGGGGGTACGTTAGGTGATTTATAAATGTGTGAAATAATATGGCGCGTGAGAGTCATTGGTGAACGATTTTCACGTTGTCATGAATCTGCCAACATGAAATAACGACGATAACATTTAAATACACGTGGTAACCGAGAACGATCGAAAATGCCTTCCTCATCGATCGTAATATGTTCATTGATCGTAATCAATGAACATATTACGGCAGGCATGCAGAGCGTCCGTTGAAATTGTTTTTGTTCGCTTGCAAGTTACTAGCTAGTTAGGAAACCTCACCACAATGGACACGTAGTTAAAATATTGATGCTTATTATTCATACGTTCATTTCTCAGAACGATGCTGGGGCCAGGCAAGGTGGGGTTATACTCGGTTGAAACTAAATTCAACAAAGTGGGTTACAGCATACTATTCTTAGTTTTTTCGGTAAAGTCACGTAGGTAACAATTGTACAGCAAATCTGGCTGTGACGGTCCCACCTGATGACGGAGACTTGTGTTGGCTCCGAAACGTCGTGATTTTTTATCATTTTATTTTTATTATATTAAATTTCATTTTTTACCTGCGTGACTTTACCGAAAAAACTAAGAATATGAATCCTTGCAGTCACGAAAGCTTCAAATCTAGAATGGGTTACAGCAGCCAAAACAAGGTTGAGTCCCACTGCTGTAAAAGTCCCTCTAGAAGGGGCCGTTCCGCCAGCAGCGTCGTGAGCGGGCAATTGCAGGGCTGCCCCCTTCATCTCGTTTTCACATTTCATTTCAACGTCTCTCACAGGCCGAGCCCAACGATCAGAACCTGGCTCCGGATGGTCGCTACGTTCCCAGGATCATGTTTGTGGGTGAGATCCCTAACCTGAGACGGGGTGTGGGTGTAGAACCACGGGGGGCTGGTGGATCACGGAAGGATGGAGCCGCTGCGTGTGTGTGAGTAGGGAGAGGTGGCGCAGCGGTTAGCGTGCCGCGCTACGAACCCGGCAGATACCCGAGTTCGATTCTCGCTCGCGGCCAACACCGGTGACGATTATCTGAACCGATCCTGGGCCTCCGCGAGATCGACTCAGCCTCAAATGAGTAGCTGGTGTGGTGTGTGAACATCGCCACTGGGGAGGCAAAGGCGGCCGGGCATGGTGCTGGCTACCCACCTCCTCGTGTGCTGTTTCGAATCTCCGATTTGCACAGTTGGCTACGTACGGTGTGAAAGAAGTTCAACATACGTTCCGGCCAATCATAGGTGCTCCTTAACGGCACTTGCCCCAATAGTCTGTTCAGACTATACGGGGGAAGGGGGGGGGCTTTGTCTTTGACCCCTCACCTGCAGTGGTGCCGGTAGTACAGCAAGTAGGTTACAACCCAACTTGTGCGGAATCTGAGCGCTGTGCCGTGGTGATGCCGAGACAACCCGCGTCTGTGATACATTCATACTTATGCTATCTAACCCAAAAACATGTATTCTGAAAAAAAGCCATGCTGGAGAAATGAATTGGCCAAACATACCCCAACCAGGACCCTCTTGAAAATAAGCCCATGATGGGGGAGGAAGGGAGGGAGGTAGCTGGGTGGCTCAAAGGTGCAGAACCACTGAGTCGGTAACCACTGAGTCACAATCCCAGTATGAGCCCATCACGATTTAAATGGGTTCTAAAGTGGAGTGAGGTGTCCGCTCACCAATGATTGCACACACACACAAACAACATTACATTACATTTGGTTGGACTTTTAATTTCGGTCATTTTCGGGGCTGAGAATTAAATATTGGTTTGCCCTATCTCAATCAGTAAACCATCGCTTTCATGGATGAGAAAGTGCTGCCCTCTACTGTGTAGACCAGGGCACTCGAAGGCCTCCCAGAGGTGGCTCTGTCGTATTCGCTTCCACGGAGCGTTCTCTCACACGAACGGTTCGTCCCGCAAAGTGACAGCGATAGCAAAAATCGGCATCGCGTCGTGGCAAACCATAACGTGGTAATTACCCACGCGGATTTTCGCACTGGAATTAAATTATCATTATCGGGAGTGTGTGCAGCCACTCACGTGCTAACCTCATCCCGTGACGCCACCGTGTCTTCTCCACATGTCCACACCATCATCACCTTCACCCCGGCTCACCTGTACACCTTCGCCAACTTGTCGCAGACCCATCGTGGACCGTGAGAGGCGACATCACGGGCAGATACTCCAACCACCTGTACCTCTACCATGCGGCAGACGTGGATCTACGTGAGTGGCACTCGTGTTACCCGAGATTGGGTGCGACGGGCACGGATACACACGGAGACTGAACATGTAAATGCAGTGGTTCCCCTCGTTATTCGCGAACTTGGCTATCCGCGGTTTTGGCTATCCGCGAATTGCATTTGGAACTCGACACGACCACTGCATCGGGAGAGAGAGAAAGTGACGAGATTAAGTGATAAGGTAAAGTGACGGGGTAAAGTGACGGTGATGCTAAAATGCAGCATCATCATAATTTAAGGTAAGTTCATTTATAAACAATTATTTAATACTTTCACATTTATTTTAAATTTACGTTCTGTTCATGAAATACAATTTTTAGTGTTGTATTATAATAATGTTCATGTATTTAATCGCGTATTTATTTATTTAAGATAATTTCATTTGCAAATGTGACTGTATTCAGTACTCACAAATATTGTAAGGGGCACCCCCAGTGGCAGCTGTCCCTTTGCAGAATAAGGTGTATTAGCACGTGGCCTGCAATCTGGTATCAGCCTGCCAGTCGGTAGAGAAGAATTCCATGTGTAATCCTAATTGAGTAATGCTATTGATGATGATGATAAAGTTGGTGATGACGATGAAATCTTTGTCGGTTGTGCGTGTCTCCTAGTCTACAAGTCCATGAATCGGGCCCTGCAGCTGCTCAAGGATGAGCTGTGAGCGACGCCGGGTGCAAGCTGGTGCCGGGTTTAATCAACCTGGTGGGATGATGGGTTGAGTGGACCTTCATAGGTGGCGATAATAACAATCACACAACTGGTAAATGTTGAAATCTGTTGAGAACCACCCGTAACTTGTGTAACGTTATAAGGCTTCTGTATTTGATTCGACAATGGTTATGTAACGGATAAGATAATGGTTCTTTATTGGATGAGATCATGCTTTTGTTTGGGATGAATAATGGTGCAAAATCGTAAGGTATCATCGTTCTGTAGTATGGGACAATGTTTGTTTTATAATGGATGAGACATTGATTCTATATTGTATAGGACAATTATATTCTTTAATAGTGAGACGATGGTTTGTCATGGAATAAGACGATGGCACGAAATTGAATGATAACACAATGAGTGGTTCGAACTTGGATTGAGGCAATTTTGTGGAGTGGATGAGACAATGGTTATATAATGATGCTTGAGAATGCTTCTATAATGGATGAAACAGTGGTTTCTTACTCTTTTTTTCTTTCGGTAAAGTCACGTAGGTAGAAATAAAATAAAATAAATCACGACGTTACGAACGCAACACAAGACGGGCGCTTGTGTTGCGTTCGAAACGTCGTGATTTATTTTATTTTATTGCTACCCATGTGACTTTACCGAAAGAAACAAAGAGTATGGATTCCTGCAGTCACGAAAGCTTCAAATCAAGAGTGGTTTCTTATTGAATGAAACAGTGGTTCTGTATTGTATGAGACAATGACTCTGCAATGGATGAGACTATGATTCTATAAAAAATAACATAAAACAACCTACAATAAAGAACTATTCCAGTGTAAAGTTACGTTTCCAGTGTCTTTCAACCTATAGATGAGATCAGTGGCATAGCAGTGTGGTCGTATATGGAACACGGTGCCAGGAATGAAATATGTAAATCATCGCGTGGGTTTGTGAGTAATGGGAAGTAAATTGCCCATTGTCCCATCAAAGGGAAGTTTGTTATCAGCATATACATAATTTGCTGTGATGTGGTTTTTAGATCAGATGCGTGGACATTGCCAAAGAAAACTGAGCATAATCTGAAACATGTGCAGAGAGGCATGGGAAATGTGCAGCCAGACTTAAACTAAATTATTCTTTTTATTTTACCAGGTAAGGTCCACTAAGCTGTATAACTCTTTTTTTAGAAGCGACCTGACCACAAATTATAGCTCAACGAAGTGGCTTATCACGTGGACATTTATAGCAGCCAAATACTCTAAAACGCATGTTGATTCTAAATGCGGACGGAAAACCCGGAGGACCTGGGGAAAAATCCACGCGACCACAGGGAGAGAGAGAGAGAGACTGCAAACTCCAAATAAACAGCAGGCGTCAGGGTCGGGATCGAACCCACGATCTTCTGCCTACCAGGCGAGGTAGTTAACATATCACCACCGCGGCGCAGATCAGATAACTGACACAAACAAAATTAGAGATCTCATGGACTGAAAAAAGTAAGTGGTGCTTGGGGCAGGACACGTCACTACAAGAGGGATGATGTCTGATGGTCGAGACTAATGTGGGAGTGTCAGTCCAAAGAGGGAACGCGCCCGAGCTCCTGTGCAGCTGCTGGGTGGATTATTTTCATCGTGAGACCACGAGAGATGGCGACGGCCTGGAACAGAAGGCCTTCATCCAACAGTGGATAGATCATGGGTGACGGTGGTGACAATGAGATGAATGTACGAGTGGTGAAAGATTGAGAGAATGAGCACGATTAAAATGAATTGTGGACGAATGAATAAGCGGAAGGGGGTAGGGGGTGGTAATGGATGAGCGTTCACGTCACCACCCTCGTCAGCCCCCTCGTCAGCCCCTCGGGAAGCTAATCCCAGTAAATAAGCAACGTTGGTCCAACGTTTCATGTTGAGAGGGATGATCCAATGATTCTAGATTTGAAGCTTTCGTGACTGCAAGGATTCATACTCTTAGGTTTTTCGGTAAAGTCACGTAGGTAGAAAATAAGTAATAATAAAAGTAATAGAAATAATGATAGAAATAAAATAGTAAATCACGACGTTTCGGAGGCAACACAAGTCTCCATCATCAGGTGGGACCGTCCCAGCTAGATTTACTGTCTCAAGACTTATTTTATTTCTATTATTATTTCTATTATTTATTATGATTTATTTTTTACCTATGTGACTTTACCGAAAAACATAAGAGTATGAGCCAATGAGCCAAGGCCGTAGCCATGGAGTCAAGATTGGGGGGAACCAAATCTTCCAGGGGGTCTCGTCCCCCCCCCCCCCAGAAAAAAAAATCTAAATTTGAATACGAATTTCCTGCCATTTCCTGCCTAAAATATAAAAAAATTCACTAACACATGGGATAGACTTTTCATTTATTTTTTACAATAATGTCTAATAGTGTATTGTATTACATTGCTCTGTTTTTTTCTTTGTTACCTTTTTTGTTTCATTGTAAGTAATGGCAGAGATTAGGGATTAATAAAGTACAACCATAATCATATGAACAAACATCTATGCATTGTTATATGAATACAAGTCCAGATATTGTGGCCAAGGTTTAGCAAATTGTTATTTTTATTTACATAGCATAGCAATTATTCTTTTTAAAAAATAGTGTTTATAGCAATATATTCGAGAGGGACATTTTCAGCATATTTGAATATTGGGGGGGATGTGTGTGTCCCCAATATACATATTATAATTACAGCCTTGCAATGAGCAGACCGACGAAGTCTGGAAGCTCTAACTCTGCAACCTCTACGAAATCACGGATCTCAAACGCACACGCAAAACACTCTTAGGTTTTTTTTTTCCGGTAGTCACGTAGGTAAAATAATAATAAATGAAAATAACTAAATTAAATCACGACGTTTCGGAGGCAACACAAGTCTCCGTCTTCAGGTGGGACCGTCACAGCCAAATTTACTGTATCATGATACCGAAAAAACCTAAGAGTATGCATCCTTGCAGTCACGAAAGCTTCAAATCTGCACACGCTAAAATAAACAAGTGCTCTATACGAGCATCTCACGAGTTTATGAATGATTACGTGAATGAATGAATAGCTAAATGAACGACAAAAGAAACGATTGAACACAAACGTTAAATGAACCATCCTATAAATTTAAATAAACTGGCCACCTATAATGCAATGTCAGCAATATTTATTATAATAACCCACACCTGTCGACCCTTCGTCAGTGCCCTACCTTATTACAGACCAATTCAGGACCTTATTGGTCACCCCGTGCACGAATAATTCTCAACGTTCATCCGACAAAGTCCCGTCACAAGGGAGAAACACAAACAAATGCATATTTTTGTGCCCGTATTGAAACGGCTGTATGCCGTATGGACCTAAAAACGCAATTTTCCTGTACAAGAATACGGGGTAAATCGTATGGGTTGATACGGTATGCTAATGCTTCGTCATACACTTTTAATCGTTGAAGGGTTTCTCTGTTCTTCAACAGCTATTCTTAGGTAACTATTAATATACCATCATGGGGCCTCCTTTGCCAGTACCAAAATATACTAATAGGGTTTTTTCCCTTTTTTTCTGGCAACAAAACTGACACCTTTTGCAAGGAATCATGCTTACATTAACCACAATACTTGCAGTCAAATGCAAACATTTGACACCAAAAGGCGTCATCTGGTCGAACACCATGAGACTAGGCTCCAAAGAAAGCTGTCTCTGGTGTGGACCAATTAGTTTCAAGGACAATGCATACATTATCAGAGTATTGTTTTTTGTTTGCATTTGACTGCAAGTATTGTGGTTAATGTAAGCATGATTCATTGCAAAAGGTGTCAGTTTTGTTGCCAGAAAAAAAAGGGGAAAAACCCTATTAGTATTAACATACCAATTATAAACTCTTCTCGATTTAAAGCTTTCGTGACTGCAGGGATTCATCTTCTTGGTTCTTTCGGTAAAGTCACGTAGAAGGGAAGTAATAAATAATAAAAATAAAACATAATAAAATTAAATAATTCTCACGACCTTTCGGCTACAACGCAAGCAGCCGTCTTCAGGTGACGGCTGCTTGCGTTGTAGCCGAAACGTCGTGAGAATTATTTTATTTTATTATGTTTTATTTTTATTATTTTATTACTTCCCTTCTACGTGACTTTACCGAAAGAACCAAGAAGATATAAACTCTTCATTATAAAAGTTTTTTTTAAATCTTAAATGTAATTCTCATCAGGCCCCGGCGGTGTGAAGTGCAATCTCAAAAACATTCTCTGCTCCGACCCTCTCTATTTACGTGCTCTGAATAAGGGCCCTTGGCCGAAACGTCGCGTCTCAAGATTGAGTGAAGACTCAAGTGAACGACTCAATCAAGGAACGGAATTGAACGGGTGACCCCGTGACCTCCCTCCCGCCCACAGCCCCCACCGCCCCGCCCCGCCCCGCCCCTCCCCCCTCTAGCACCCACCCCCCGCTCGTGACGTCACCGCCTCTTCGCCGCCGCCTCCAGTCAAAATGGCGGCTCCCAATGACTACTTTAGCGTCGGGAGCCAAGTGGCGTGCGTGACCTGCCTCGGGCAGAAGATCCACGGCGAGGTGCTCGCCTTCGACTACCACTCCAAGATGCTCACCCTCAGTATCCATTCTCCGTCGCGCCGCGACGCGTTCGCCGTCGTCCGTTTTGAGCCGGTCGGATGTCGAGGCCTAGTCGGCCGCCGCGAGGCCTCGAAGAACACCGCGCTTGCCTAGATGCCTCAACCGGGGGAGGGTGAGGGATGGAGGGGAAGAAGGAGGGAGGGAAGGGGGGGGTGGGGGTGCGAAGCGACCTCGCCCGCTCGGCGCTCGCTGTCCGAATGTTTGAAACAAAAAAACCCCTCTCGATGTGGTCACTGTCGGGCGTTGCTTGGTCCGGTGATGCCCGCGAGTTGATCTCGAGGGGGCTTTGGGGCGGTGTTTGTGGTGGTCTTTTTGTGATTGGCGCGTGTCCCCTTGTAAAATGCTTCGGTGTGTTCGCGTACAGTTGGCGGCTTGGATGGTTAAGTGGTCGGTATTTTTTCGTGTTAAAGGACGCTTTAAAGGCACGTAAATGTAGGTGTGTGTTCATACGTTGTCTTTAATGATAAAGTAATCGTAGGTTGGATACGTTGCTTAAAGAAAGTTATGCCCGATATGGCCACTTAACGATGAAGGTGAAAAAAAAACCACGATCTTGTGCAACATTCAAGCCGAGGTTTAATTGTACGAACAATTGTTTTGCAATGTTAATTGTTTTAAAATGGTAACTAAAAAACTGTTGCAGGGGAATCCATTCATATGTTGTATTCAATAGTCCACGGGATATTGCTTAGGGCCGGCCGTACGTGTACCGTAATGCTTAAAGTTGCCTTGTGAGAGTAACGTTACGTGGCATTTAAACCATACACACACTACAACCATTGCGCTGTAGGTCACAAATACCGTGGTTTTGTGGCCACGCTACGTTTTTATGTGGCTCGGGCTTATGCCTCTGCACTTAAATATGTTTTTGTTACCGGAACACGAGGATAAAATGCACAACAGGAAACATTTTGAGGTCGGTGGTTTATTTCTACGTGTTTTTTTAAGGGCGAGGATTGCGGGCACGAGTTGTGTGTCTCGTCGCTGTTTTTATCCAATTTGAAGGCCGAACTGGGTTCAGGCGGAGGTCAAGACTTAGGGGTTGAAGTTCAATGCGGAGGATTGTCCTCTCTTTGTGGAGAGAGCTGCGTTCGGCGGCTTAATGTGTCGATGGCGTATGGATTCTGTACGTGCAAAGCCCGTTGGTCAATCCACTCGCTGTGTGTGAGGGTTATAATTCGCACCATAATTTAACATACTTCACCGCACTGGTCATTGCGGGTTTTGTAAAGGTGGAGGGGGTAGTTCAGAGAACAGCGGTGGATTTTGTTGCACGGCCCCCACTGCCTGTTGCACCTTTATTTTGCGCATGGTCACATCCAAATCTGGACTCAAAACTGCTTAACTTTCCATCTATGACAAGATTGGACTCATTCCGGGTCATTTGTTGACTGACGTGCTTGGTTTTAGACTCTGGTTGTGACAACTCACTGATCACAGCGACATTCAGTCTGTCTGAACTTCTTTTGCACCGTACATAGCGAACCGTGCTTTTGGAGGGTGCATTGTCTGAAGACAATTCAGGACTGCTCTGAGAAAAGCCTCTTGTGACTCAATGGGGCATTTCCTGGAAAATGCAATTACTGTACGCTATTCGTGAACATTTAAAACCGGTTTGGCACAAGCGTTCGGTACTAAAACGTTTACAAAAATCAACTGCCTCATTTAAAGTTGGGTTTCAATTACAAAATTACGAAGTTTTAACAAGATGGCTTAGCTTGGGTTTATATGACCAGTTTTCCAAAAAAAAATCTGCCTAAATCCGCTTAATTCTCCTGTGTGTAAAAAAAAATACTTTTATGGTCCCAATGGGCCAACCAGGTTGTTTATATAAAATAAAGTGAAGATCCATCTTTTGTTTTAGAGGAGCAATCAGCAGTGAGCTGTGCCCACTTTTTGCGAGGTTTAGCGGTACACTAGTGGTGAGGATTATATATTTGTCAGCGTTTAGTATGATCCTTAAATCACCTCCGATTAGCACAGTTGGCTACGTATGGTGCGAACGAAGTTGACATGCATGCAGAACTTGGGCTTCTGTTATGGGTGAAACTAATCAACTTCAACGTAATTATTTAGGTCAATTCTAAAATGTCGCTTTTGTCCTAGTTTTAAGTATCGACTTGCTGTATTCATTTAAAGAATCTAGTGTGTGCCGAACACCATTATAGTTGTAAATTTAATAAGTAATATTTTCAGGCATGCTCATCAACGAGTGTGAGTTTGTACTTCTTCCAAAACACTCACAAGGCATGGGCAGGTAGCCATCGTCCAGCAGTGGATTGACAGTGTACTGTGCATGTTCCAGAGCAGCTGCATTGTCCATCTTATTGTATATATGTTGAACTTCTTTTGCACCGTACGTAGCCAACCGTGCTCATTGAAAGTGCGAGAGGGAAGGTCAACAAACTGAGCACAAAAAGCACTTCTAAAGTGATGAGTTTTCAATCTACATTTAAAAGTGCAACGCTCACGTGGCTTCCTAATATCGGAAGGAAAAGCGTTCTAGCCAGCGGTTACTCTCTTTCTTTCTTGGCTAGCCATGTGCAAAAGGTTGGCTTCTTGTCCTTTAATAATACATCAGCAATAACGTACGGCGAGGATTGACAAAAAAAGACTACATTGCAACGGCGTCTTCGTCGAATGCTAACAAACGTGTTTGACTCCTGGTGAGTGGGTGGGCAAGCGAGTGAGTGAACCAGCGAACGAATAAGCTCCTTAACTCGGCCGGCACCCCAGAATGCCCGTCGTCGAGTGGCAAGGTGGGCGTGTGCGACGTGCTGCTCCTCAACCTGGCCCTCGTCTCCGAGGTGGACATCCTCGCCGAGAGCAGCGAGCCGCCCCCCGTGCTCACGTCGCTCAACACCAACAAGGTGCGTGCATGCTTGTGTGCGTATTTTTTGTGGGGAGCGGTAGTGTAGCGGTTGGTACGCTGCGCTACGTACCCGGCGACCCGGGTTCCATTCCCGCTTGTGGCCAACATCGGTGACGAATATCTGAACTGGTCTTGCGCCTCTCCGAGGTCAACTTAGCCTCAAATGAGTACCTGGTGCCGTGTATAACATCGCCACTGGGGAGACAAAGGCGTCATGCGTGGTGCTGGCCACCCACCCCCATGTGTACCGTTTCGGCCTTCATAGGTGCTCGCAATAGCACTTGCCCCAACAATCTGTTAAGGCTATATGGGGATCTTTGTCATGGGGAGCAATAGTTTAGCGGTTGGTGCAATGTGCTACGAACCTGAACTGGTGCTGCCCCAACCCGAGGTAACCTCGGCCTTAGAAAGGAGTAACTGGTGCGTTATGTCCAAAATATCAGCACTTGTGCACAGTGCCAGCTTTAATAGGTGTTTGCTAACAGCATTTGCCACAGTCTATAAAGGTTACAATGGGGGGTGGGGGTCTTCGTGTGTCTCTATAGGTGTGTAGGAGTGTTTGTCGGTGTGTGTAAGAGGGATATGATTTTGGAGGTGTGTAGGCATGGAAGATTGTAGCACAGGTGGTACATTTTCCATTCATCTCGATTAGCTAATCCATAATACGTGGGTCTGTCCCATAATCTGCTCGCTAGCAATCGACACTTAACATGGCCTCAAAATGCACGTCCGCTGGCACAAATGCTGTGGTGATATCACAGTGGCGTCGTGGCGCATGACGGCTGTTGTGTGTATGGTGGGGAGTGGTGGAGCAGTGGTTAAGGCACTACACAATTAACCTGATGACCTCTGCTCAATTCCCTGCTGTGGCTAACATCAGTAGCTAGTGATATTTGAACCTGTCCTGGGTTGGCTGAGCTTTAAATGAGTGGCTGGTGCGGTGTGTAAACATCAGCGCTCGGGAGACAAAGGTAACCAGGCATGGTGCTGGCCACACCACCATCATTGTGTCCATGCCGGCCTTGATAGATGTCGGCTACACTAAACCACATGCTGAAGCTGAGGTTCGTTTTGTATTTACAATGAACACATTGTTTTCCTTTTCTCCCAATAGTATTCCAGTTGTGCTGCCATCAACATTGAATTGTTGACTCCATTCGAACAGATTTGGTGGCAAGCAAACAGACTGAGCGGTGAACTCACCGAGCTACCGGCAACTCATCCGCCCATATCGATACCCGACGGAAAGTCCTGTGCGTCCACCCGTCCCTCTTGCGTTTCCAGTGTTTTCTCTTTTTATGCTTTTGTCGTTTGTGCAATGGGGAGGGGCCATGCCTAATAATGGGATTCTTCAGCTATTTTATTTCTTGTGGGCTACGCGATAAAGCTAACTACCGTGTGCCGGAGGGCATCGTGGCATTTCGCGTGAAGTTTTAACCTCGTCGCGTTGGCATTTACAGATGTCGTGTGGTGTCGTGACGTCATAACATGTCTTTTTATTTCTCCATTTAATCTCACAAGTTTTTGTAAACTCTCGTCTACGGCTCTCTCATCTCTTATCTCGTGTGCATCTCGCTTTCATCTCACTAATCCGTTGTCTTTCTCCGTATCTCAGTGAAGCCATATGTTTTTAGTGAGTTGCTCCAGGAATCATCAAGTGGCCAGATGTGGTTGCTCCGCAGTCCGCCAGATGAATAATCATGGCTCATGATATCAAGCGAATCAGAATGAGAACTCTCACAGCTGGAAGTGTGACTGGATGTCAGAGTGGTCCTAGAAGCTGACGTCATAGGACTACGTCTGAGGTTACTTTAGTGAGCTTCTTAAGCCACAGTAAAGGCACCCCATCCCCTGTGGTGCGTGCCCTGTAACGAGTTAACTGCATGGTAGTGAAGCTGAAATGTGTAATCCACAAAGCTTGAATATCCAATTTCAGTGATCCGTTTTGGTGCAGCCCATGAGAACAGTTAAATCGCGGGCGGCCGTAACCCAGATTTGAACCCCTTTGGCACTGCTAGCTTAATTGCTCTGATTTGGTTCCCCCCCCTCCCCACCTCTGTGCCACCCAGTGACTTGGGGATGTGCATTTCATATTTTGTGGAGGACACAGGGTATCTGTAGTTAAAACACAACCAAGGCGGTTGAGTGATTAATCCTCTTGGAGGATTTGCTTGTCATTTAATTATCGATTTGCCATTGCATGAAAATGTATATGACAAAGTAACATAAATATTAACATTCATGCTCAGGTCAAATGTGAAGTGTTTAAAGGTCTAGATAAGATTATAATGAAAACGTGAACCCCTCTTGCTCGCACATTGACTTCAAAACTGGTTTCCCAAAATAGACGCGCAAACCAATTGGGGGTGGCTCATTTGCGCGAATGAATGAATGTTCCCGAGAAAACTGGGCCAGAACTTGAGAATCTGGGTTCCATTCCTGGGTCAGCCATCTGAGACTAAAACCAGGATCTCAAGTGAAGTGAGTTAATGGTGTCAGCTGTTCAACTCCTCCGATGTGATTATCTTCTAATGATTCACCAAAGCTAGTGCTCAACTCAAAAACTTTACTCGAACAGATCCATTGTAAAGTTGAACTTATTTTGCACCGTACATAGCTGACCGTACTAATCGGAGGTGCGGGGGAAGGACAACAAACTAAACACGAAAAGCAGTTGTAAAAAATAAAATCAGCTTTCAATTCGGAATAATGCCAACAAATAAATAAACACATCCATGAGTCATTCTATGCATCTCTTTACTGGGAGGCTTTGAATGAGGGATGATGGCTACAGGGTATTGTGGATTTTCCAGGAGCCTGTGCTGAATTCAGATGACTGTTTATTGATAGAGGGGTTTTTTTCTTCAATACTTTGCAGAGGCAGATAACGAGATTGTGAACGGTAAAGCCAATTGAGTTGCAACACTGACGTGTAGTGTACATTGCTGCTCAGCTTGCAGAGTTCAGATCTTCGGGTTTGAATATGGACACGTGGACATCACAGACCTGGACTTGGTTAAATAGCACAATATCATCTTCAAGCGCCATAGAGAATATTAATCACAAATTCAATAATGTCTCGCATCCATATTTTTGTCCCTACACATAAAATATACAAGTAATTTTCTTTAGCATCTCATCGAGCCTCATCAGTATTGGTTGATGATGAACTGCCGGATGTTTATAGGCGAAGACCCTTGCTGTTGTGTATGGGTCCTGGTTCGACACAACTTGTATAATTACACAGCGGCTGAGGTTACAGTTTACCTTGTGATAGCAATTCACAGCGAATGACACGATGACATTTGTAATTGAACCCAGGTCTATTACAACGACAAGGCACGTAATGATCCACCGTCAATTAAAACCCGTGCAGAACAAGATTCGATCGGGTTTGCAGTAACATAGCGGCGTTCAAATGCCGACATACATCAAGGCTCTGCATAGGGGACCAGTGATGGGGTGCATTTATTTTATGGAGGGGGGCAGTCAAGATCTAGGCCGCTACTTGAACATGGTCAGGGAGTATTTGGGATACTATATGGAAATATATGGATATGTTAATTCTATTCAGATGTATTTAAGACGATGGAATTAAAGAGATAGACCAATCCAGATGAATGAGATGGAAAAGAATGTTCTTGAATTGAATCTGGACCTCCTTCCCCTCCCCCCTATGAATTGTGACGATGAAACTAATTTCATGGCAAGGAAGGTTGAATAGTTGAATATGTAATAGGTGTGTGAGTGATCCTATCGGTTTGTCAATTAGTATCGAATCCTTCGCTCACAGCGTATCAATCTTGCACTGCTAAGAAATAATTGCGTTTAAATTCTTGTAAATCGTATGCAAATGATTCGCTCGCATGTCGGGCGACTGGAGCAAACAAAACTGCTAGCGCGACAGAAGTGAAACAAAGCAGATAGGGACACGTCTGTGAGAACCGCAATCGACTCTAGAATTAAATCGCGACTAAATCGTAAAAATCAAACTAATCGCCGAGTGGGGTTGATGGATCATTGCCGGCCGATAAAAAAAAAAAAAAATTACACCGCGGATTTTTCAATTGTGATTATTCACAGAGCAGTCATCGCCCGCTTCCAGCAGACTGGACATCTGTGAAAAACAACTTTATACCTCATCGGATTCCTCCCAGTATGAATAGAGATTCGGATTCTGACTAATGCCCTCGGTGGTCACTCATGCAAATGAGATTTGTGTAAATCCTGTTCATTGAGTTCTTGCCTGGTAACGTCTGCCGGCAGTGTTGAGGTACACTTCTGTGTGTGGGTAGCCTGAGTTCGATTCCCGCTCACGGCCAACACCGGTGACGATTATCTGAACCGGTCCTAGCCCTTCCCTATGTCGACTCAGCCTAAAAAATGAGTACCTGGTGTGGTGTGTAAACATCAGCACCTCTGTGGACCAGCACGGTAGCGTCGGCATACCGTCGGCGCGTTGCCGTGCGCCGCACCCAAACCCCCCGTGCCGTTTTGTTCCGCTCATGTTGTGTCGTTTTTCCGGGCAGCTCTCAAGCCGGGTGCACAGCGAGGTGGAGGAGAAGTTGAGTCACGCTCACGCCGTGAGCATGGGGGTGTCGCCCGAGGGAATCCTGTTGTTCCAAACGATCCAGAAGACGTGAGTTAGCCGACGCGTCCTCCCTCCCTCTCTCCTTTTTTTTACGATCAGGAAAAAAAAAATGCTCGGTTATTTGGCACTTTGCTTCATTTTGGCTTTCATTGCCTTCCTCCGTAGCTCCCTCTCTCCCTGGTGTCCTCTTCCATCGGGCACCATTTACTTTTGCTTGTGCGTCATCACCGATGACCTGTATCTCGCGGGCTCCAGTAATGTGAGGCAGTCTCGCGTGTTAGGCAACTTGGCGGTCAAAGTTGCAAAAGATGTTAATAGTTGGATAATTATTTTTATCTGATGAATTTACTGCATTGACTAATCGTCCCAAGTCTACGAACAAAACGTGTGTGGTTGTACAGCCGCTTGTCAATTCACTGCTCGATCAGGCCCTCCCTATAGTAGTTCATGGACGTGTTTGTATCGCTGCGTGGCCCTTAATAGGGGCAAAATAAATCCACAAAGAACAGAATTGACTATTTGGCTCAACGCGTTGCCAGCGCGTGCCTTACACGTGCCAGTCTAACCGAGGCACTTGCCTTCATCTCTCCAACCTTCTCCACCATCGCCTCCGTCTCTCCCACCACTGCCCTCTCTCTCCACTCATCTCTCTTCTGCTGACATCTTTCTCCATCCATCATCCCTCTCCGACCTGCTTGCCTCTCCGACCTCCGTGCCTCTCCCACCTGTCTTTCTGTACCACCGCCATCTCTCCCATCACCGCTCGCATTCCCACCGCGTCCTCTCCCCATCGCCGTCACGTGTGCCAGGATCAAGGAATGCAAGTGGAACGAGAAGAACATCATCGTGCTGGAGGACGTGGTCATCTCTCCGCCGTACCGCGTCGAGAACTGCAAAGGCAGAGAAGGGAGCGCACTGACGCACGTGCGCAAAATTGTGAGTGCCGCCCCTTCCTTCCTCTGCCTTCCCCTTCCTTTCTTTCTTGTCCATCCATCCTTCTTGTCTCGTACCTGTTCCCTTCAAGGCGCGTTTCGCCTCTGGAACAGCGAAGATTGGGCTAGATGGTAAGGAGGACCGTGGTGGCTTGTGATTACATGGGTTGTTATGGGAGCAGGGAATTATATTTTTGTTATTGAGCACACCTCTATAGTGTTTTTTAAATCCTTTATATTAAGTTTGCTTGCTTGCTTGCTCGCTTACGACCGTGCAAATCTTTCGGTCGTTTTTTAACCCACTTCCTGTGATCCAATCGAGCTGACATTTTGCACACAGACTCGTTGTGCGTGACAATTTATTTTTGTGAAAATGTTTTTCCAAAATTTTCCACTTTCTAGGAAAAAAAACATTTCATATTTAATTTAAAATACCAATGTGATAAAAATGAAACTCTTACTCAAGAAAAACAGAAATGAATAATAAAATAAAACCGATGCCACGCATATAAAGGATTTATAGTGAAAAACTTTGTTTTTACGGGTTAATTTTTTCCCTCCAATGTTATCCCGATTGTGCCCTTGGTTTTTCTCGTAAGACAAAACAAGCTCGCAGAGCAATGGTACCCGTCGTGCTAGAGAACGTCCCACAGAATCATTTTTAATGGAACTGCTCCTGGGATTCCTTTAAAAAGTAACCTTCTGATGTCAACACTAGGGGGCTGCACTTTCTCTCAAACCAAAATTAATCTGATGGGGGTTTGTTTTTAATATCAACGGTGCCTGGGCTGACGCCATCAACTCCACTTCACTTGAGAATCCGGCTCAATGGAGGGCTGTGTTTTAACCGAACGACCTCTGCCGTGCCAGCTCAGCGTTCTAACCACTAATCCACGCGACCACCCCGTGCCATTTGATAATTGAATATTTCAGGATACATTTTTTCACAATCACAGCTGGACTGCAGTGACCACTCGTGGCACCCGATTGTGTGGTGCTACGACTATGATGGCCTGTCGGCTATTGCGCAAGCTGCGTCGTATTGATCCGTCGGGGGGGAAGGCCGAGAGAGAGAGGTCCGTGTGGAGCCTCATTGCCCTTGGGTGCATTTTAGATGCGCGAACGCAAGTGTTGTGGACCTTCTTTCGCACCACCGCACGTAGCCAGCCGAGCTAATTGGAGGTAGGGGGGAAGGCCAACAAACTAAACAAAAAAAGCCGTTCTAAAGAAATGAGTTTTCAGTCTAGGTAGGTGTTCAATCTACACAAAACCCGCCATCCGCACATTTGTTTCGTTCCGCCTTAAACCATTGCGCCGGTAGCCGAGTCACTACTGTCAAAGTCGTTAGGTCACTAGTTACAAGCTAGAGCAGTGTTTTTTACAGACCTTTCTAAGTCCACTGCTGGATGGGGAGGGTTCTATGAGATGGGGAAGGTGGGGAGGGAGGGGTGTAGAGCAACGTGGAGGTGAAACAGAATCGATTCTTGAACGGAATTGCGCACCGCACACTCGGGGCTGTTCACGGAATCGCTTTTGGGGGGGGGGGGGGGGGTTGGGTTATCGTGTCCAAGACGCCTTCATTGCAACAATGCACCCGTGAAAAAGTCCTTTACTTTTTTTGCCGTTCAGGTTGAAAAACACTTCAAGGACGTGGACCAAGCCAAGTCGGGGCAGCCTTTGGCGCAGCAGCAGGCGGCACAGAGAGAAGCCCCGCTGTCGTTATGAACCTCGGGGTTGCTCGTCCCCCCCCCACCTCTCCCTCCCCACCTGTACCCCCCCCACCCCATTCCCCCAACCCACCGTCCCCCCCCGCCCTCCCTCTAAAACGGACAACCACGACTTCGTCCACTCTACCCATGGCCACTCGGCTCTGTCTGAGGTGATGGGGCGATTAATAAAAGAAGCATCAACTGGGACCTCTTAATCACAGCCCCGCTCCTCCGGTCACCCCCCCCCCCCCCCCCCCCACTGGTCGCCCTCCCGCCCCCACTCCTCTCGGAGAGGTCCCAGAAGAATGAGATGAGTACAAATTAATCCAACATCCGAAATAACTACGTTCCAACTTACCAAATTCCCAAACGTTATGTTTTACGATGAAAATATTCCTCGTTCTTTTTTTTTCTCCCCCCCCCCCAACCCCCGTCTTGTTTTTGAAAACTGTTACACTCTTGGCCTTTGATTTGGACAAATTGAGTGCTAGAATTTTCCGTCCCGTCACGTGAGATATGTCGGTCTTCCAAGTCTGATGGCCCCGAGTTGGTGTCGACGCGGACTGCTGTTTTTGTAAATGCCGTCCTCTCGTCTTATCAACTCGATTGGAAATCAGTGTCCCCCCTGTGGTCTGTCCTCTGTTGAATTCCTCGCAGTGTCGAAATCTAAAACTCCCGATAAACGTTTCCTTACGCGGCCCACAGATCCACGCCGAACGTGCTACGCGCAAATTAAATTGTCCTCTGTGGCGATTTCTATTTATGAGCGCGTAATAAAAAAAAATATTTTCAAATTTTTTTTTTTTTGTTCGGGGGGGGGGGGGGGGGGGGGGGGGGGGCCGGGGGAAGCGTGGGAGGAGCTGGGGGGGGGGGTGTCGTGGGGAACAAGTGTACGTATTGCAGAAATGCCACATTCAGAGTCGGCTCGTGTATTTAATTTAACCCATGAAACGTACTCATTTTAACACTTTGTAATTGTCATTGCCAGTGGACAGATTTGATTGTAAATTATGCATCGGCGACACACAACAAGGACCCGTTCCGAGGAAGCCGGTCTCGGTGAGTGTGGCATCTCCGCGACTCGTCGGTCGGATCATCGATCCGACGATCAAGCCCCCCTGGTTTTTGGGGGCTATAAAAAGTGAGAGAGAAAACAAAAATGACGTGTGAGAAAATATTACAAATAGAAGAAGACTGAAGGAGGAAGAAAACCCAACATGACGTCTCGGAGCGCGCGAGTCTTTTGCTGTCGCGCCAGCTTAATTAAAGCCGCCAGGGTTAGTCGGCGAATACGTTGGGCGTGTCGTTAACGGAGTCTTAAACGAGTGCTCGTTAGAGAACGCCTCTTCCAGAGCACCGCCAGCCGCGCCTCTACCGCCGCCGCTCCCCGGGGTAAAAGTTGGCGACGGCCGGAGAGGGCGCCAGCGCTCCTGGGCAGGTTTTGCCGGAAAATATTGGGAACGACGGATAGTCGTTAACGGTGCGGAGCGAACGGAGCGCGCACGCACCACCCGCGCTACGGTTACGGACGGACTGTAGCGCCCGCGCTGCGCGCCGCTCGCCACTCCCTCCCTGCCCCCCCCCAAACCCCCCCCCCCCCACCCCCCTCTCTCTCCGCACCAACCAACCCATACCAACTCCTCAACTTCCAAGCTCTCCCCTCCGCTGCCTTCCCCACCCACCCACCCGCCCACACCCTCAATATGGAAAGATTTCGGTTTATAAATTAAAGATGAGTCTTATAAACGGCTGCTGTTTGTGTGTGTGCACTTCGGTGTCCCGGCCAGTGTTGGAATGTGACGGGGCCGCTCAGGGTTTTTGCATGTTCGACGGCGCGCAATTTGGTTGTGCCGGGGTTTCCTTTGCGGGAGAGTGGGTGGCCATAGTTTCACCTTCCACCCTCCCTCCCTGAACCCCAACTCCAGGGTACATTTTCTTTCCGATTTAAAGATCGGTTCCGCTTTTTAACCTCCGGCGGAGAACGTAGCAGATGCCAGCTGGTGCGGGAGATCACGTGAACCCGTTACACAAACCGGCGTTGGCCTATTTACAAATTTGTCGTCAATCCTCAACCCAGGGCGGTGACGTGACCGAGCAGCAGCGTGTTCTCGCAGCTTGTTTCAGGGGTCTGCGGTTCGAACCCCACGGCTGCCCTGGTTAATGCTGCATGCATACGGACAGTAAATACCGCGCGCTGCCTCCTTTACAGTGGAAGTAAAAAATATCCCACGAAATTGAAAAAAAAATTCGTTACCAGGGGCCTGGCATCGCGATCGAAATTTGCCGCACTTAGAAAAAAAATACATTTCCTGCTGTCAGACCGCACATTTGCACGCCCTTGCTGCGTACACCATGTGCCGCACAGACGGCTGCCACGAGGGGTCCCCTGGGCTCGACTGCATGCAGCAGGGCATTGGAATGGTTGAGAAGTGATGTTATGCGAGGTGCTTTCTAAGTTGCCGAGACATTGAAGCAAGAGGCACTGTACTATGCAAATCCTCATCTTCCGTACAACGTGAAAATGGTGACAGACAAATCGATTTTTTTTTATTTTATGCGACCAATTTGGGTGCCTGTATCGTGAGCATAGGGAGAGGGAGGGGACTGGCTCTATCCTGTGGCTATTCCAGACCCACTAATAGGAATGTCTTTGAAATGTGATTTGCTTTTTTTGCTTGCATTTCCATCATTTCACGAGATGAAGGATCCATTCGTAAATCTCCCAGAGCCCTGTGTTGGAGAAAATGATTTCTATCGGGCTCCGTGGTGTGAAGTGCAGTCACCAACTCTGAATTATATCCGATGAAAAAAGAATCTGCTTTCAGCTTTCCAGCTCAATTCTCATCTTTTTTTTATTTTATACCGGAAAAAAAGATTCCACAGATAGGACTGCTCAACCCTAGCTTATGATGCTTTCATATTTGCATTTCCTTTGCGCTGTTTACCTTTCTGGCGTTGTTCTCCGACTGGTGGTGAGACGAGGCCATGAAGGAGGCTGCCTCTGGTTGAGGCCAATCAATTTCGTAGACAATTCATAGTATCAGAATAAGTTTTCCCCTTTTGCCTGGCAACAAAACAGGTGTTGAGATGGTAAAACACCAAACTGAAACCTTTTGCAAGGAATCGTGGCTGCATTCACCGCAATACTTGTGGTCAGATTGCAAACAAAAAACACTGATAACATGCATTATATTCTTGGTTCTTTCGGTAAAGTCACATAGAAGGGAAATAATAAAATAATATAAATATTAAAAAATACAAATTTTCACGACGTTTCCACTGCAACACAAGCAATCATCAGGTGTGAAATCCACAGCAAGAAAAAAAAATATGCTTGTGTTGCAATCGAAACGTGAGAATATTTAGATTTTTATTATTTTATTATTTCCCTTCTACGTGACTTTACCGAAAGAACCAAGAATATAAATCCCTGCAGTCACGAAAGCTTTAAATACAAATTTAACATATGCATTGTCTTTGAAACTGATTGGTCCACACCAGAGACAGCTTTCTTTTGAGCCTAGTCTCAAAACGGTGTTAGACCACAGGACGCCAAAAGGCGAACAGCACAAAGACAATGCACTATCAGAGTAATGAGAGCTCCGGGTCGAGCAGCTACATTATGGGACCTCCTTTGCCAGTAGCAAAATAGAATACGTTTTCCCCTTTTTTCTGGCAACAAAAAAGGTGTTATGATGTTAAAACACCAAACTGAAACCGTTTACAAAGAATCGTGTCTGCATTAACCACAATACTTGTGGTCAGAATGCAAACAAAAAACACTAATATATGCATTGTCTTTGAAACCAATCAATTGCAAAGACAACGCATTTATGATCATGTTTTACCACAATGTCGTTTGGTTAATGCAGACTTTATGCCTATTTGGTGAACGTCTTAACACCTATGTATTAAGATTTTAAAGCCACCGTGTTTAGGTTTTTTTTTGTAATTTGTTACTTATGCAGCATTGCCAAATCATTTGTGTTGGAGATTGGCTGAGGGTTTTCACAACGCTTCTCCCAATGCGTACTATCTTACCTACGACTACAAGGCAGGCCCCGAGATGCAAACGTCCGACTTCACAACATCCGCACTTACGAACGAACTTCCATTTTATTATGAACCGAACCGCGGAACGATTTCGTTCAGCAGAGCAATCCGCAAGCCAGAAATCAGGATCCAAGAAAATGAAGATGAAATTGATTTGTTTCTTTTCATGTCACACTTCATTTTATGCTTTAATTACTATCCAGTTTTTATTACAGCATTGCACGCAAATGTACAATATTTCTTACGAGTTTAACAATGCTTCTCGTTTTTGTAAACGATAACATTTATAACGCAGACCGTGTTTACAATTAAATATTGCGTTCCGATATACGAACAAATCTACTTTCGAACAGGTCTCCAGAACGTAACCCATTCGTAAGTCGAGGACTGCCTGTACTTTAGCAGGTAAAGCCCATTGAGTTATAACTTTTTCAGAGGCGACCTGGACACGCCTGATGGCAGCTCATTGAAGTGGCTGATATCATCACAAGAGCCGAATTGATTCAAGAGCCAAATGGCTCACAGGGCTATACCTAATAAATTAACTTGATCACACGTAATTTATAACCGCAGCCAAAAAAAATCTCAACTCATGTTTGGAAATGTAGAGGTCAAAACCGCAGGCACCCTGGGGACAGTAAGCGCGACCACGAGGAGCGAGAACACGCGGACTCCGAATATACGGCACAGGTCTTGTGAGCGTCTGGGATCGAATAACGACCTCCTGTATTCCAGGCGACGGAGATAACGTCTCGCCATCGGGGCGTGCCGTTCAGTCCTGCAAAGTGGCCTTGTAATTATTTACACAGCAGGGGGCGCGGTTTCCCACACTGTTATAAGTTTGTCTCGTGTGTCAATGAAACCGAGATTTGAGAACTCAGGTTTATCGCAGGTGGCTGAAAGCCAGATTCAAATCCAGGATGTAAAACTTTGTAGTCTGCTTGTTACGCTGTTGATGGCGGTGGTGGTGATAATGAAGGGCATTGATATTATGGTGGTGATGGTAACCCTGGTCTGGTTTGAAACTGATCATCTCACGACTGCTTGGATCTCTGCTCCTAAACCAGGGGTCGGCAACCTACGGCTCCGGAGCCGCATGCGGCTCTTTACGGGCTGCTTCTTGACGATATGTACGTGAGTACAGTATGTACTCAGATGCATTGCGGCTCTTGAAATACTGAATTTTGTACCGAATAGGAAAGAAATGGCTCTTCTTGTTATTTTGGTTGCCGACCCCTGTCCTAAACTGAGCACATGTCAGAAAAAACAAGTTCCTGTCAATCCACGCCGACCTTCGCTGTGAAGTCTGGTCAACCAAGCCCCAAGGCCTTCATCCAGCACAGGATTCACTCGGTGCTTTACGTCGTTATTGCTATCATGACCATCACCATGTAAACCATTGTAAGCATGCCGACGCATTATTTGGTGAATTCATACCGGACTTGGGTGCGCCGGAGGCTTCAGTTATTCAGCCCGCCGCCTTCTAATAGCATGAAAGGGGTGGGTGGCCAACACCACGCCCGGCCGCCTTTGTCTTCCTTGAGGCGATGTTTTCACATCGCACCAGGTACTCATTTGAGGCCGAGTTGATCTAGAGGAGGCCCAGGACCGGTTAGGGTGATCGTCACTGGGTGTTGGTGGGTGAGCTGAGAATCGAACTCGGGTCTCTGCCGGGTTCGTAACGCAGCGCGCTAACCGCTGCGTTACCGCCCCCCACCAAACAGACAAAATATCCCCCGTATAGTCTGTAGCAGACTTGGGGCAAGTGCTGTTAGCGAGCA